TTAAACAACCTAATGAGATAAGACTCCAGCACAGCAGGTCTAGGGCACCCGTCGATCCCGGGACAATGCCTCTGTGTAGACACCTGCGTCAGCTTGTATGGTTGAGAGGACAAATTGCGGAGTGAGGTGTTTGCTCCTGTGCCAGGCTGAGGATGTTTGTGACTTCGGAGTATGTCTTTCCTCTCTCAAGGACACTGTATGCAGCCAACGGGACGGTTTGTCGGGTATTCTCCTTTGTGTACCTCTTTTAAAAGCAAACTGTTAAGTTGCAAGTAAGTCAACTTGTCGGTCTGCAAACAGTCATTGATCTCGTTTCCTTCCTATTTGTTGCAGCAGCAGAACACGTTAATTTATTGGCAAAGTACATGTCATGCCTCTGACTGCTTACGGCTGTCTTAGTCCTCATCATTTAAGTAGTTGAGCTGTGCCAAACTGGTCTCCTGGACTTTCATTCCTGTTTAAACTTGTAAACGATGGTCATTATTCCTTCTTCTCTCCAAAACTACTGCAGCACATAAAATAACTGTCTATACCTAGGGGGAAACCTGTATCAGAATACAAAACCACCACGAGACAAGTTAACGCGACAGCTTCGCCTTCGACTTGTAATCAATTTTATGCTCTACCGTGCAATCAGCAGTTCAGGTTTTATTATTAATGTCTGAAAGGACCGGATCTCCTTCTGCCTGCTTACTGCTCCCTGTCCGTTTGTCTGGACGGACGGACGCGGCGTGGTTTGCTGTCCTCAGAAGAGGGCTGGAGCTTTTCGCTGAAGCCCCAGACCCTCTAGGATGCTCCTCCTTTAGCGTGCATGTAAGGACCTCACTGCAGGCACCCTGAGGACCTCCTAAACCTTGCGTGCCTTTCTTGGTGGCCCTGCTGCTTGCCATGCGGGCAGTGGGGTCCTGCTCGCGCGCTGAGATTTACCCGGGCGGCTGTTTCTGATGCGGGTCGGACTCCTTCCTGTGATCTACGGTCAACACAAAAGACACTGCAAGTTTTTCTAAGGATGTAGCGTCACAAGAACATAACCAGGAGGCAGCCCAAACCACGACCTCGCAGCACAAGGACACAGGATAAGAGAGGATACACAGAACGAGAGAGACATCACAATAAGTTTCTACAACAGCACGTACAGGTGCGATAAGCCTCTATTTTTATCTGACTAGTAGTTAAAGCTCCAGGAAGTTACAAAATGTCAGATCTCCTTTTTATTTTCTTCCAAATCCCGTAGCCAAAACAAAGAATTAAAGGACATTAACCTTCACATGGCCACAGTGGTGTTGAACAAGCCCAGCCTAATTAAGAATCAGGGTTTCCCCGTTCTGTTTTTGAAAGCGTACACCTGTGGCTTGTAAACAAGAAGTAAAAAGAACTATGAAAAGGAAAGGCCTGTTTCAGTGAACTGTGCAAGTCCTGAACTGATGCACACAAGTTGTGGTTATTTCAGGTCTTTATAGAACCATAAATGTGATTGCTGAGCTCTAAACGGCAAGACTGGCAGCTGGACTTCCTTCCACCCTGAAATAATTTAAAGGCACATTCATTTTCTAAGCTGTCCCTACAGTACTGCATAAAAAGAGCCACACAGCGTTTGGTAAATTAACTAACTGCTACTGAAGTGTCAGGCAACAAGGAGAGGAACAAAATAAACGTCGGGTCTAATTATTAGCACTGATTTCTTCCACGGTGGCTTGCAGAGGCTGTGCTCTGGCCCTGCAAGCGCTGAACGCCAGATGAAAGCGCTAGAACAGTTCCCAGTGAAAGTCATGTCAAAATGAGCCACATGTGTACCTGGAGCGCTGAACAGCCTTCTGCTAAAGAGTCTAGCTAGTCAACAAGGGACTGCACACGGTGTCACATAATTGGGAACGCCTGCTGCTTGCAAAATAACTTCGAATTGCCAAAACAGCTAAGAAAACGCTAGTCTTCATCAGCTGGTGGCTCTTTGTAGCTGGCACCTGAGACAATGAAAAGTGGCTTTTTTCCTCGTGCTTTTTTTCTCTCAAGTGGATGCAGCATACCAAATATTGAAATGCAGTTCTCATGACTGCATTTAAATCAAGCTATCTGTAAATAAGCAGCTTTAAAGCTTTACTTTCGCTGCGGTCACTTAACATAAATTACACCAGCAGTGGAAGCTGCCAAAAAGGGAAAAAGGGTTGGGAAGCACTAGCTATTTCACTACGGGCAGGTCATGTCATAGTCGTCAGCTATGCACTTCCTTTGAAGCCTTTGTGCATATTCCACTGCTGAGGCAAGATGAGGTGCGTTATAACTATAACTTTGCCAGGCTGATAGCAGAACTTTACAATGTTGAGGCATCAAATCCAATAGGTCAGAGATAAGGTGGTAAAAAAAGGTGTGTAGGGTTTTTTTTTTAAACCCTTAATTAAGGGCCAAGCCGTTTTCTCCTTGGAAAATCAGAAGGACTAAGTTGCTCAGGCATCAATAACAGAACATTTAATCTGAATTTTTGTGTTTAGGCTTTAATAAGTCTCATGATTTGAAAAAGGTTCAGAAGTGATCTTCTCCTACCACTAGATGCATAAGCTGAAAGTTAGAAACTTGCATTATTTCTCACTTGTTCAAGGAGGAAACGAATCCCAAGCAAGAACATCCAAGTCCCCCATGGCCAGGCTCACTGAGAATGCCCTGCACAGATTAACGCGTTTTAAGTTTCATTTAAACTACGGACTACAGGACCCTGAGGCAGGAATACAAATCTAAGTATAAAATTCTTAAACTGTTAATTTCAGCTGGGATTAGAGGAAAAAAAGATGCTTTGTTATTCATTTGATAACTTCCGCTGAGGTTATACCAGGCAACACCAGTGTCACCTCAGGAGAATAAACAAAGTTCCTAGACATCAGGTCTTTCCTGGCATTGCAAGGCCATGCTCCTTCCTCTGGAAAACTCTCTTTTACATGGCAAGGTAGAGCTGCATAAATAGAGTTGAAGGATCTCGAAGGAAGCCCCATTGACACAGGTGAACTAGTGACAACAAAGAAGGACAGGGAAGGTGGGAAACCTTCCCAAGTGAAGGTGGGAAACTGCACTGTGTGGAAAGCATGAACTGAAACTTGCTGCCACCGCTGGAGCGCAGAAAGGACTGGACCTAGACCAAACTCTGCAAAAGGGGTATGAACTTTTGCTACTGCCTGGACTCTATTTCATGCACTGCAGGAACTCTGTGTCACCTACTCAGATAATATTTGGCTCACATTTGAGTAAAAGGTGCATTTATAGTTAAAAGATGAAAATTTTGCAAAGTTGATCAGTCCTTCGTTTCCTCAGCATTCAAACAGATCACAGAATCAGGGGATAGTTCAGGTTGGTGGGGACCTTGGGAGGCCCCTAGCCCACCCCCTACCCAAAGCAGGATCAGCCATAGGGGCAGATCAGGTCACTCAGGGCTTTACTCTGACTGGGCTGGACACCTTCCAAGGATGGAGCCAGCACGACCTCTCTGGCCCGGCTCAACAGGGGAAATGTTTCTCCCTGTCCCTTCTGGAGACCCCAGTGCTTCCTTCACACCGCCTCTCCTGGTCCTGCCCCACTCGGGCTGTGCTCAGCCCAGCGGTGTCTCCCCTGCCCATTGGTGTCGGGGCTGCTGCAAGGTGCCCCGAGACCATCTACACTTACTACTGGCCTCCTGGTAGGGTCCAACCCATTAACCACAACCCACTGAGCCATCCAGCCAGTGTTTTCCCCACCCAGTTGTCCTCCCATTCAGACCATAAGGTCCTAACCAGAACATAAAAATGTTGTAGGAGGGAGTGCTGAAAGTCTTGCCAGCATCGAGGTAGGTGACATCACTGCTTTCCCCTCACACACAAATGGGGTCATTTGTCTAAGATGACAGTTAGGTTAGTCAGGCATGATCTACTCTTGGTAACTTCATTGGGAGCTAACTGTTTCTGACCACCTTCTCCTCCATGTGCCAAGACTAAAAACACCAAAACCTCCCTTCTATCCCCTGAATAAGTTACTTGGAAATCTAAGCCCCTGTGAGACACAGGCTGCCAAGAGCTTTTTGAATCCAGGCCTAAGAGGAACAGACACCTCCTTAAGGCAGATACATTAGTGCTCAATGCACCAGCTAAAACTTCAGCCAGAATACATCATGCAAATCATACACTTTCCTGCATTAGAAAGGAAATCTCAAATGTATATAAAAATGCACCTATGTACATCTGAGTGTTGAAAAATGCAACTAGCAAAGAGTTGCACAAACAAACCCACCAGTTCTCACTGCTGCTGCAAAAGGGTTTTCAGAGCAGGCAGTGCTGTGCCTGGACTGTTATGGTATTCTCTATATTCAACTGTCAGCCTTTCCAAGAGACCTTTCAACAATAAATACTTTCCACTGGAAGGAAAGAACTGTTTTGAATGCTAAGTTAAGATTAAGTCCCCATCCAACTATTTAAGCTTTAAATCTAAGCAATGACAGCACAGCAAAACATTTCCATTCCCATGTATCTGAAGTTTGATCCCGAGAAACCATCGCTGTAGGGGGAGAAGAAAAAAAAAAAGGACTTGAAAAGTGCTCAATCTTTGACAGAGGACCTCTCTGCAGCAAAATTTTTTTCTCCTAAACCTTTTTGTTTTACCAGTGTTTAAATAGTTCTTTACGCACTGAAAAATGTCTTACAGTTAATTCAGGCTTTTGAATTTTGCTCAGTCTGGGGGTTTGGTTTTCTCCTAACCACAGATGAGCATTTCCCCCTGTTTGGCAGAAGCGCATACCCGACGTGACTAGGGCTTTTCGAGGGAGAACTAAGACCAGAATCCTTTCCACAGGCAATCTCAACTCTAAGTGTTCAACAGCCCCATTCTTCACAGCCTCTCTCTTGCTCTTTTTCATTTCTCCATTCCATAGGGGTAGTTTGCAAGAGTTTTTTTAAAAAAAAAAAAAAAAAGACAAACACACTGAAAAAACACAAACCAGAACTGCATTAAGTTGACTTCTGTACTTTAATAGAGCAGACCTCTTACAAAAGCACCCTCTTTCAGGTATGTGACAACAGCAGCAACACGGTTGCAGTTGCCTTGCGCTCCAGCTTCAAACAAGGAAGAGCAGCACATTTATTTGCCGAGGAGTTGCAGGCTTGCTGTGGCAGGACTACAGCAAGAAGAGGCAGGCCTTTCCTTGTGTCTAAGGTTACAGAGGAAAGTGCTTCCACAGCTATAAGCTTTTCCCTTATCTGAAGTCTCCCATCCTCTTTCTTCCAGCCTGGCTCTTTGTCCCCATCCCTTCTTAATCAAGCAGGATTCAGCACCCCATAAAAGTAAATGAATGCATCTGCACTGTGTTTTAGCAAACATCTGGTTAAAAAAAAAACCCTAGACATTTCCATTAGATAGATGGAAAATACAGTTACCTTGCAAAAAAGGCACACTACAAATATCTGGGGAACAAATAGGGTAGAGAAAAGACGGGAAGTAGTAAGACACATGAATTCCCTTTCTGTCTGTCATCTATTTTTGTCAGTCTTGTAGATTTTACACTACCGCTCAAAGCAGATCAAATAGGTGGAAAAGGACATGGGAGCAGGGGAACAGTGTAACAGTACAGAAATCTGAATAACTGTAAGATAAAGAAAAAGCTCACTTTATATCCAGCTCTGCACTCACACTAGCTAACAGATGCTGAACAGACATTAAATGGTATTGAGAACTAGAGAGGTTTGATTTCAGCTGAGGTAAAAAAGCCAGCATGGAATACTACTTGAATAAGCCACTGAAACCATGTTTATGTATCTTATTGGCAGGAAATGCTTTATGGGGCATAAGTCAAGTTGCCAATAAAATCCAACTAAACAGGTTACTGATGTCCCATTGCTCTGGGAACCTATGAGCCTGCAGTAAGACAGCTGAAACAAGGCCAAATTCTCAGGATGATTTTTAACAGCAATTAGCTCTGCTACAGGCTCCTTCTGAGGGACTTCAGTGCAGCTATATCACCCTTCATAGGTGCCAAAGATGTCACATGAAAGAGCAATAAAGCAAAGAGACTCCCAAATGTCAAGGAAAAAAAAAATTGTTCAAAGATAGTAAAGCATTTGTCTGCTCAAGCTGGATGTGTTTTTACAGAACGCATCCCTGACTACTCTCCAAGCAGGCTGTGGAAGTAAACAAGGACTTCATAACACAAAAGCAAACAGGGCAGGGCAAAATAAACTTGAAAGAAATTAAGAGCCAAAAAAACCATCTACAGCTAAGAAGAGGTGATATTATATCATCTCCTGCTACTGCCAACAACCCCCACTCCACTCCCCTTCTGCTGTTTGAATGCATAGAAGTTTTATCAGGATAAATGTTAAGTCTCCTTACAGACCATGGAAACTACTTTTGTGCTCTAACATACCGGCTTCGACAACTTCATTCAGTACGCTGAGGTAAAGTCAAAAAACAGAAATTGAGGTCTTGGGGTTTGTAAGAACTCAGATTCTGAAAACTGATTTTTAAGCTGTAACTCCAATGCTGAATGTTAACTGGAGGAAACATCTTTACTGGTCTATTCAATGTGCCACTTGGTAAAGTTCCTTGCTACCAGTAGTTTAATACCAAGAAACTGGAGAGGTACATTTTCTGCTTAAAGATTAGAGAGGCAAAGAGCGTATTTATAGTTGCCATGGAACTTCATAACCAACAAGCTGGCCAAAAAAAACCCATGCACTATTCTAGGGTCTGTAACATTTCCATAAAAATATGTTGTAATATCTAGAGCTAGAAATCTAATTGAAAAAGTTGAATTCTGTCCAAAAATTAGTAGTCCTTACAAGACTAGGCTACTAAAAAACACAACAAAAAAAATCAAAATCACCTCTCCTCCCACCTTATCACAGAAGCTATTCAGTAAAATAGATACAATATTCTTGGCCAGAAACTTTAGAGGTTTCCTTACTCCCTGATCTTTGCTAAGTAATTTTAGTCCACATGCATTCCAATTACTGAAAACGTCTGGAGTTAGACAAGAGCTGCCAGGCATAGCTGGCTAAAGCCCCAACTCCCAGAACAGAAGTAACTTGCTAGAAACAACTCATTTTTAATCCGCAGAAGTTGGCGGCTATCCTCATCTGTGAGGAAAGGAGCCCACAATACACAAAAGAACAGTTGCAATGAGAATGGGCATTAGAACTAAGTCCAGGAACTGATTCAAGTTCCATTGTGATTTTTTTTATTGTTACTATTTTAGAAATGTTGTTGATCGAGAATGATTTAACAAGTCATCACCAAAGCATGGCTGGGAAACTTCAGCTTCTCCCAAGCCATGTCTTCTACTGGTAGCCTTGAACCTGCATCCAATCAAAAACACAAACAAAAAAAATGTTCACCTTGAGGGAGAAGTTATTCTTTGTATTTTACCTGCTGTAGGATGAGCAATAAAGCAGCACTTCCTGCCATTTTTCACGAGGGTGGCAATTCAAGGCCAAGATCTTGTAGCATCAGAGGAGGGAAGAATGACTTTACACAGGACAAGAATTCGTCATTAATAAGCTACTGCTGGCTAGGAAAGCCAGCTTTTGCTCAGCTGGAGACTTCCAAGCAGTTAGGCTAAAAAGCACAAAAATTTCCCATTTCCTGGCTTCAGACTTGATCACGAAGCCAAGTGTCTGAAGGCCACAGAACCTGCAAGTTAACACAGCCTTGATCCTTCTCTACTGCCTCAATGAACTAGGCTCATACAGTCAGTGAGGAAGAAACAGACTTCACGCTGCTAACACCAGAATGAGCAGCATGGTACTAGACAGTCACCAGCAGCGAGACAAATCCCACCTTCCTAGAGCCACAACAGTGGACCATTTATTCTTCAGTCATCCAAGCGGAAGGCTCCAGTACTTCAAATGGTCTTAGAGCCGCTGTGGTTAACCAGTGGTCTAAAATAACAGGTCTAACAGGTCTTTCGGCTGAGGAAACAGCTCCCAAGGTACAACCCAGAGCGCTAGAGGAGCTTGGCAGATCCACGCACTCCATCTGCTGAAGGCAAAGCACCAAGGACTGCAAGGCACACAGGCCAGCCTTGTTCACACGTTTGACCGTCATCACAGGCAGCTTCACCCCACTCAGAACAAGAGATTGCCTCTGCTCCCACAGCCAAGGGGACACCAGCTTACTTGTGCATGCACTCTTGACTTCTGCCATTACACATGTAACAAGAGGGGCTACTTAAGACATTTACTATTCTACTTCAGTAGTATCGTAATAAGGGAGACCAATTTAACTGCTTATCTTTATTTTCCCTCCTCTGCATTTAAAATTTACAGTGGGTTTCTCAAAGAGCATTCATACCTGTATACCTCTAAGAGATAACAGACAAGATTGTTTCACTCATACATACAAAATTACTGACGTTTACAAATTTTTGGCAATCACAGTAACCCGTTTTTTCCTATTGCCATTGCCCCAACCATTGAAAAAACACAGTGTACAATAATTTACATTTGAAGTATTTCAAAGTGCTTAATAGTGGTTCTTCAGGAATATTTACAAGTGGCCTATACACATATGTACAGGTGTTACACTATAGCACAAGCTGTGGCTGGAATATGGCTTTCTATGGAAAGTGCTTTATATTTGGCCAGTGGTGTTACTGACCGACCAATTCAAGGGTTACTGATAAAACGGTAACCACTAAAAGCTGAATTGTTGTGGACAGATATTTACAAGGTTTGCTGTTAAGCTGTATAAAATAGGTATTTACATAAGTGTCCATACATACAGAAAGTATCTTCATTCTTCCAAGAATGGAGGAAGTCTCAGCCACAAGCCTGGTTATTATCCCCAAAAGTGTAAAATACAAGTAAACTCAAAGTGATGGCTGATCCAACGCTCACGCCATATCATCATCTGTGCTCACGACGGATATCTGCACAAAATAAGCATTAGTTAGCCATGCTTGGACTAGTGAGGAATATCACACAACACATAGCTTCACTACAGGACACTAAAATAGGAGCTAGTTCTGCAAGGCAACAACCAATTCAGTTTTGGATTACTCCATGCCAGGCATAGGAGAGCAGACACCTGCCACCACTTTAGCCTTGAACAAAAGGACAAGTTTGCTCAGCCCAGTACTTTGGCTGCAGCTAGTAGGTCTCTGCTCTTGAAAGCAGACACTTCTCCCAAACTCAAGTTAAAGATTGTTTGTCGGTCTTTGCTGTGCCTACTCCGAGGATTAACCAAGGTCTTCAGACAAGTCAATAAGTTTACTTACTGCAGGATAGGTATGTCCTACTGAACTACTGTGTCTTCCAATATCAATTGTGAGGTCCTCTTCTGTTGTTTTCAGGTAGACAGGATTATCAAAATTCATGCTTTTCATGTTTTTGTGTTGCCAGTTACGCCACATGAAGTAGCCAGCCACTGCAGCCATCACCAGCAATACTTCAGGGAGAGAAAAGGATAGTAAGTATTGAACAGGTCAAACTCTTGACTAAGAGGAGGCTTATCCCACAACAGGGGGCACCCAAATGCCACTGAACCCTGTACTCACAGACAGGAAGAACAGCCCAAGCAGCCGATGTCCCTCTGGCAGCAGTTACTTCAGACACTGTTCCACTGATGTTGAATCCTGCATGAGAATTTAACCAAACAGTGAGGTTGCTTACCGAAAGCCTGGCAGACTTAGTTAGATGCAGACACCCGACTAAGTCCAGAAGCTGCTGTCTTAACAACCCGTCTCAGTAAAGCATCACAAGAACAGCCCAACAGGCTTCATCTTATCTTAGGAGAAAGCGTTTTTTGCTCGTCTTCTGAGCGCTCCTGGGACATAAGACACTATGGGTTCCATACTGTCATAAAGTGAACCAGTTCTTTCTATCACAGCAGGCTCTGGCTGTTGTATTTGGACTACATACATGACCTGTATTCTCTCTTTGCATGCAGAGGAGGAAAAACTTCAAGTAGGCTAGCAGGTCAGTTTGCATTTTGCTTCTGTAATGTTTAACAGTTTTGAGTTATTGGGACCAGTACCTCCAGGAACTAGTCCAACAGTTGGAGATTTTTCTGTTGTGCTGGTATCTTTAGCCTCAGTGTAAGCCACAGTTGTTCCAGTACCTGAAACTAATTATAGATCAAGAACCCAGTTAATCCTGAAGTTCTGAAATGGCTTAGCCATGACATCCATGGTGGCAAATGTTTAGCAGATGGTAGAATGATCATGCAGCTTGTTAGCTTTATTGGAAATGCTGACATTAGTTATTTTACTATAAGTTATTTTTGTGATCACAAAACTCTAAGAACCAGGTTAGACAGTTAATCGGGCATAACCTACAGGTATTTAGAGAGGGAATTAAAACCGTTAGCCACCCCATCCTTCACACTTCAGTTTCCCCGAAAGAGATTTTGTTCAGTGTTTGCTGTTCAAGCATGGCCTTTGAGACACATACGTATCAATCCTTTAGAGCGCCCATTATCCTTCACCCAACAGAAGACAAATGGTCCTCACATTGAGTAGTTTGGCTGTAGCAGTCAGAATCACTGTGGCATAGCAAGTGGTACCTTGCAGCGTCTAGTTGCACTAGACTGCACAGGCAAGCCTGCCATACAGTCAGTGCTCAGGATAGCAGCAGCCTGTTTGGACCTGGAAAGCACCGTCTTGGTCAGCCTGCCAGTTTTCAGCAGTGTGTTTATATGCTGGAGAGCCATGTTAGCTTACACTTAGCTCATATATCTCCCATGTTATGAGACGGGGGGCTAGGTATGTTTATGCATGTGCTTGCTGTCTGTAGAAAGCCACAGAACTGCGAAGTCTTATTGCAAATGATAACGATGAAACCAAGCAGACTTTGAACAGCACTGCAGACTGAGTGCTTGCTTAATGCATGCTAGAGGATCACCCCCTCCAAGATGAATTACATCAGACTAACCCATGCAACACATATATACTGCCTATACTGCCATGCTGGCCTCTTACAGGTTCAGTACTCTCACTCCTTTCCTTGTCCAGCCTGGAAAGGATTTCAGTTGTATTACCATACCTGCGCATCTCAGACCATCCTCCTGCAAGAAGTATCCAGCAGGACACGCACACGTATACTTTGGAGAGTGTTCATTTATCTGAGGAGCAGGCAGGCACAGATAGCTACAGCCTCCGTTTGCCATGTTCTCTTCACACCAGTTCTTGCCTGTTGGTATAAGTTAGTTTTAAACAATTGGCAGGAGCGAGCCTTCATGCTTAGAAGCGTAGCACAGCCTTTTGTTCAGTAATTGCTCGACTAAAGTGTATCTGCAGGTTATAGGCCTGTATGTACTCTATCTGAAGCAAGAGGCGTTGCGGCTACCCCTTCGCTCAATTTTTGAGATGACATTATGCTAGCAGCTCCATGCACAGCAGGGAAGTAGAAAGCTATACAGGTGAAGGAGATCATTTCCTATGCTTCTCTAGCAGCTGGATTACCACTGCCCAAATAGGGCAGGCTTCCTTTAAGTACACACTGACATAGCTATAAGCCATATGGGAGTTACCTGAAGGCTGAACAAGCTCATGATACACAATAATGTCCTGGGCATCATTGAGGTTGTTTACTAGGGTAACCAATTCAGATCCAGTAAACTTGTTGGCACCATAAACTGCCTCATTCTCCCCATCAATCCAGTACACGCGGTCCTAGAAGACAGTCATTGCATCCTATTACATTTGGATTACTTTCAGTCAGCTGTTGCAGCATAGCTCTTAGCCACACACCAGCAAGAACGTCAGCTCAGACACAAGGACTGCAGGAAGCTATTCTTACCTCAAATATTGTTACAGCAAGAGGATGAGGAAGGAACATATGAGACTTTAACACAAGTCTTCGGTCCTGGCCATTCAGGTCCACACTGGACAGCATATGTAGTTTAGAATCAAGCCAGTACAGACGGCTTTTTACAAGATCTAGAAGAAGTGGGGGGCAGGGGGAAAAGAGAAAAAACCCACATTCAGTATCTACATGGAGAAGACTCCAGAGTCTCCTGTAAAAACTGAAACACAAGTTCCAGAATTGTTGCAGTGTTACCCTAATCTCTTGTCATGTGGGAATGCAGAAGGCCTGCTGCAGCGCCGCCTAAGTGGCCTGTGCGTCAACTAGAATAGAGCAACGTAAGAAAGGCTACTATTTCAGTATCTGGGAAGTAGCTTTGCCTGTTGCAATGGCTCCAGGCATGCTAGAACTTACTATTCTCAGAAGCTGCAAACAGTTCTCTGAAGGATGACCTTAACTTTTGCAGTGAGCACACAGATAAAGGTCCAGAATACCTCCAACACAGAAGCAAGTTCAACATACCTAGAGCAATTCCATTAGGCCATTG